GTAATTCTTCATGTCATCCATCAGAAATATGAGAAATCATCAATGTGTGAAGAGTTTACAGGAACAACTGTAAAGGACACATGGACAATAACAAGGGGGGTAGAAACAGGGGAAGGAGGTGGGGAGGGGTGGGATGGTGGGGAGGGGTGGGGGAAAAAGGCAAATAACTGTACTTGAACAACAGTAATAAGTAAGTAAGTAAATAAATAAATAGAAATCGTCAAGATCATTTAGGCCAATATTCTTATTTTACAGATGAAGAACATGAGGTGGCTGAGTGGTACAAACAGGCCTGGATACCAGGCCTGGAAAAAATACCAGGATTCTGACACTCTTTTGATGCTCATACTTGGAGACTTGCACCAACAGAACAGTTGTCATTTGGAAAATGTTTAATAGAAAATATTTTATGTATTTCTGTGAAGTCTTGAACAGATCTGATACGTGAATACATTAAATCTTAACTTAAATTCTTGCCTTTAGATACTACTGCCTGGGGTTAATCTAGGTATTCTGAGAGGCTTAATAGAAAAAAATACAACAAATGTGATTTTATAACTTTTTATTAAATTTTGGAACCCATGTCATCATTTCCTAGGATGCCTCCTAGGAGGAGCCATGCAAGCTTTATTAGCTTCATCATTGATCAGCAGCCACTACTGCTTTCTACTTCCCTCTCCCTACCATTATGTTAATTGGTTAACCATTTTTTAACTTATTTTAAGTATGTTTTTATTGATTATGCCATTATAGTTGTCCCATTTTTTCTCCCCTTGATTCTCCTGAGCCCTGAACCCGCCCTCCCACCAACATTCCTCGTCCCCCACCTTAGTTCATGTCCATGGGCCATACACATAAGTTCTTTGGCTTCTCCATTTCCCATACTATTCTTAACCTCCCCCTGTCTATTTTGTACCTACCAATTATGCTTCTTATTCCCTCTACCTCCCCCCACCCCCATTCTCCTTTCCCCCTCCTCGCTGATAACTCCTTTAACTACCTTATCTGGGAAGCACTTTATCTGCCCTTTCATCCTAAAGGATAGCTTTGTTGGATAGACTAATCTTGGATGTAGGTTCTTGCCTTTCAAGACTTTGAGCCCTTTCTTGCCTGTAAAGTTTCTTTTGAGAAATCAGCTGACAGTTTCATGGGAACTCCTTTTTAGACAACTGTCTCCTTTTCTCTTGCTGCTTTTAAGATTCTCTCCTTATCTTTAATCTGGGGTAATGTAATTATGATGTTCCTTGGTATATGCTTCCTTGCGTCCAACTTCTTTGGGACTTTGAGCTTCCCGAACTTCCTGAAAGTCTATTTCCTTTGTCAGATAGGGGAAGTTCTCCTTCATTATGTTTTCAAATAAGTTTTCAATTTCTTGCCCTTCCTCTTCTCCTTCTGCCACCCCTCTAATTTGGATATTGGAACATTTAAAGTAGCCCCAGAGGTTCCAAAGCCTCTCCTCATTTTTCTGAATTCTTGTTTCTTCATTCTGTTGTGGTTAACTGTTTATTTCTTCCTTCTGTTCCAAATCTTTGATTTGAGTCCTGGTTTCTTTCCCTTCACTGTTGGTTCTCTATATATTTTCCTTTGTTTCACTTTGAAGAGCCTTCACTTCTTCCTCTTTTTTGTGACTGTACTCAGTGATTTTTGTGAGCATCCTGATTACCAGTGTTTTGAACTCTGCACCTGATAGGTTGTTTATCTCCTTGTTGCTTAGTTCTTTTTCTGGAGTTTTGATCTGTTCTTTCATTTGGGCCATATTTCTTTGTCTTGGCACACCTGTTATGTTATAAGGGGCGGAGCCTTAGGTATTTGTTAGGGCAGGGTAACCCCCTTCACTACACTGTGGCAGTCAGGATGTATATTTCTTCTTTAACTCCTTGGTTGTTGGACTTCCAATAGTTTGATTTTCTGGCAGTTCTTATTGTTTTTTTAAATTTTTTAAAATTTATTTTTAGAGAGGGTGGAAGGGAAGGAGAAAGAGAGGGAGAGAAACATCAATGTGTGGTTGCCTCTATGGTGCGAGGAGGCAAAGTGTGTCTACATATAATTCCATCTTGGCTGGAAGATCCCTGCCCCTACCATTTCTAACAAATCAGAAAGTATATAGGGGACTTGGGGGCCTATGAGACATCACTGCAAATGTAAATCATAATCATAATACATTTTAGTATAAGAAACTGCTAATCAAAGAATTTCAAGACAGGAGTTCTACTATGTCTCCTGTCTGTTTTACCTTATGGATGTTTCAGATCCATAATTTCCTCTATTCTCACTGCCATTTCCTAAGTCAGTGGTCCATTCTCTTTCACCTGGATAAACACAAGAGCTGCCTAGCTAACTACCGTATTTTTCAAACTATAAGACATAGCCCCTTTCCATCCCAAATTGGGGAGTGCCTCTTATAGTCTGAAAAATACGGTAGTCTCCTCATCTATAACGTTGCTTCTGTAATCCCTTTCCCACAGTCATAAGAATTATGTTACTCAAGTGCAAATCTGATTATTTAATTCTCCTGCTTAAAACCCTTCAGTGGCTCATCATTGCCTTAAGAATAGAGTTTTAGCCTCCTTATCAAGGAAAATCAGTCCCCCACTGCTCCCAAATCTTGACATCTGCTCTGCTCTATGTCATATTTTGACATCCCATCAAAGTCTTTGTTTCAGTCATACTACTTCACGTACAGTTCTCTAAATGGGTTCTGTTCTCTTTCATCTCCAGGGCTTTGCACATGCTGTCCTCAGGGCCTGCAGTCCACCTTCCCCAGGTCCCTTAGGAGTCCATTCAAGCATTGCCTTTTTGTGTGTGAGAAGCCTTCTTTGACACCCCAGCCTAGGCTAAGTGCCTCTCTTGTGATTTTTCTTTAACACTTACCACACTGTGTCACACCTTATTGTTTACTTATCTGTCTTTTCCACTGGACTCCTAATTTCTTGAGGACAGAGACTGATTCTTAGTCATCACTGCAGCCCCAGGATTTACCACAGCACCTGACACACAACTGGCATTCATTAAATATTTCCACGTAAACCATGAGAGAAATGGGTACTAAACAAAGATTTCTTGTTTAGTGTCTCCCATTTTTTCCCTGTTACTGGATTTTTAAAATGTAAGATTCTTGGTGATAAGATTGTGGATATGTTATATTATTCTTTATGTCTCTATGCATTACTTATAATTAAATAGAATTCTATATCAGATAACCTGTTTTTATCCTATTGTGATAGGGCAAAATAACAAATCGTTGAAGTGACACTGAATGACTTTTGAAAAAGGCTCCTCTTGAGCTATACTGTATACCGATGGTGGAAACTCACATGATAGGGTTCATGGTGAGCTACCAATGGATAAGGGTTGCATCTCACTCCAAGTTAAAGTGGGAGGTGACTGATATCTCAGGGGAGATATTTAAGGAGGTTAGCAGGTTCAGTGACACAGCTCGGACAACATCCTGGTCTCCTTGGTTCTAGTCCTATACTCTTTCCTGAGTGTGTGTGTGTGTGTGTGTGTGTGTGTGTGTGGTGGGTGCTTTTCAGCATACACATGTGCTTAGAATGCACGAGATATGAGAGTGCTAAAATGATTGTGACTCTTCCATGCCTAGAATTTGAATAATACTAGCTTCTAATTCTCTTTAATTTCATTTAATCATTAGAGCTTAAGAAGCAAACACAATTCTCCTGGTGTTTGTTTCTGGCCATCTGCTCTGTTCAGAATCTTGGAACTAGACAAGTTTCTGTTTTGGGGGTGGGTGGGGGAGGTCTATTCCAGGTTGGAGGTTTGGGGATGGGCTGAGTACCTAGAACATGGGAAAAGATGGAGCCAATTTCAGGTTTCCTTTATGAAATTCCCACAGTTCTGGAAAATATTTCAAGATCTTAGTCAATCTTCATTTTGTTGGTATAGATTTTTATCACAACCACTTTGTTAATTTGGGTCCTGTTTGAATTTGTTAATAATCTTAGGTTTATATGATGATTAATTTCGTGCTAAAGAGAAATCACATATCATAAATGGGGGGATTCAGTTCTGCAGAAGTGCATGGGTAACAGGTATTTTAAAAATAGGCACGATTCTACATTTTTGAAGTTTGTATTAGGATTGCCCCAAAATGACCTATTTACTTTAACACGGGGTACACTATAAAAGAAAAATCACTTGACCTTGGAGTAAAGGTTAGGAAAAAAATCAGTAGGAAATAAACACATTTAGGAAGGTGAAAATGCACATGCAGTGACACGTTTTGGCCCAGTTGACATCTTGTTTCATCTTGTTTTTTCCCTTTACTTTGAGCTAAGTAGATTTTATATATATTGTCTTCGGCTCCATTCGACTGGGGAAAAGCGATGCTATACCAATGGACTGATGAGGCGTGCTCTCTCCACACATGGACACTTGGCTTTGAAAGAAGAGCAATGTGTAGCACCTAATAGGTCAGACTAAGGCACTGTAACAATCATATTTGTGTGTTTGGAAAGAATTATTTAATTCTCCGTGACTTCAGTGCCCAGGTCTCCAGGCAGGGGGGGGGGGGGGCGGTGGGTGGCTGCATGTGAGCTCGAGTCTCTTGGGGAAGAGCCAGTCGGGCCCATCGCACGCGACGCTGCACGTGGAAAGGTTAAGTACATCCAACGATCCGCGTTCTGCAAACTGAAGGTGACCACGACCCCATCTTCTCTGGTCGAATTTTTTTTACATATAGCCGCACGCGCGGCCGCATGGCTTACCACCCGCCGCGGGCTAGGGAGCTCCCGCAGCAGGAGGAAACACCTGGCGGGAGAGTCCCGGAGGGCCTTCCCGCGGCGCCCGTGCGGACCCGGGGCGGTGCAGCTGGCGGCGGCGGGGCGGGGCTTGGCTGCGGGGAAATGACGTCGCCATCCCCGCGCGCTCCGCGGGCAGGGAGCCGCGCGCCCGGGTAACGGCGGCTCCGCGGCTCCCGCGTCCTCTTCCAGGTCCCCGCCTCCCTCGCAGCAGCCCGCCCCGCCTCCTCCGCCCTCGGCCCTCCGGCCGCGGCGTCCCGCTGGGTCCCTGGTGCCAGGTGGAAGCGGGACCTGCGGGGACACGCTGCCCACGACGCCCCCGCCAGGCGCGAGCAGAAGAGTGGGCGAGAACGGGCCGGGCCCCGGGTTGTCGCTGCCGGACCCGGGCGTCTGCCCCGCGCTGGTGTCGTCCGCGGCCTCAGGTTGGCGGGTCCGCCCCGTCCCTGGACGGGGGTGACCCGGGGACCGCGGGCAGGAGGGCGCCTGCAGCTGCGGCTGGAGAGCGCCGGCTGTGGGGTCCAGAGGCGGCCGCTCCGGCTCCTGCCTACCAGACGGCGCGGCTCCGCGGGCCGCCGCCCGGGCGCGGGGACAGGTGTCCCGGCCGGGGTCTATCGGGAAGATGGCGACCCCGGGCATGAGCTGGCAGCAGCACTATTACGGCGGCTCGGCGGCCGGGACGGCCAAATTCGTGCCCTCGCCGGCCGCTGCGCAGCAGGCGGGGCACAGCATGGACTACAGCCAGGACCTGCACCTGAAAATGAGCAAGAAAATCGCCCAGCTGACCAAGGTAAGGGCGGCCGTGGGGGTCGGCACCGCGGCGACCCGCGGGGGCTGCGCGTGGATCACCTTTTGGGCAGCGAAGCTGTGAGCCCTGCGCCCGGGACCAGTTGATGGGGGCTGTTGCGGGGATGCAACAGCGAGAGACTTATCTTCAAGAAGCATTCAAACTTCAGTAGAATGCTGGTGACATTAATTTAAACGAGACAGGTCAGAGGCACGACCCAGTGAGTGGGGCTGGCACCTCTGCCATTTAGGGGCAAGCCAGCACAGAGCAACTCAGGATCGAATTCCTTTATCTCACAGTAATCAGTCCTATTAGTTTTGCTTTCATGCATGCGCCAAGCCTCCACGAGGCATTACACTACACTTATGAAGTACAGTACCGTATTTACCCAACATGACCCGAAATCTTCGGAATAGTCATTATCTCTTATTGGTTACATAGTTAACGGGAGTTTAAACGTTCTAAGCAGTGTAGGAGGGTGAAACATACCTTGCCTGACATTTTTGTGATTTAGTAAGTCATTCCTTATCCTGACAGAATGTCAAATAAGGTTTATTAGATGAGTCATATGTCTGTATTTAGTTAACTGTTTTAATCTATCAGTAGATAATTATCAAGAAGCAAATGGCCTGCAAATTTGGCCACCTGTAGTTCAGGGTGGTACTTGGATGGTGAGTGTTTACAGGTTTCGTAAATGTTGATATTGAGAAAGTTGGTATCTGTGAGGCAGGAGCAATTTAGATGGAGTATTGTGCCCTGTTTGAGATCTCAGGTGCAATCTTTCAATACCCATTAAGTGAGAAGAAGAGATTGGTGGTTTCTGAAAGTTAATTGAGGTAACAAACCTTGTTGCATTAAGCTGATTCAGCTAACCACTTGTTAGGAGTGTTGGTATACTGAAGTAAGGTGGGCATTGTGGGGTTTATTACTAGGGAACCTCTAAACTGCAGGGGTGTCCGACCTGTAGCCCCGCCTGCCGCATGCAGCCCTGGGTAGCTGTGGCCCAACACAAAATCATAAATTTACTTAAAACATTGTGAGATATTTATGTGATTATGTGTCACAATGTATTTAATGTGTGGCCTGAAGCAACTCTTCTTCTAGTGTGGTCCAGAGATGCCAGAAGATTGGACACCCCTGCCTGAAAGTCTGATTCTTTATCTCTAAAATTCTCACGTAATTCCATTACTGGTTGGCACTTTTGAGAAAGTAAGATAGAGTTGGAAGAGAGGAAAAGAAGGAGACGGGAGTGAAAGGGGATGGGGAGGATAAAAAGATTTTGTTGAACAGATGTGATTGAGGGTAGAAAGACAAATACAATGAAAGAACTGAAGGACGAGGGGTCGAGAGGAAGAGCACAGGAAAGGATGCATGCAGTCGACCGTGCAGAGCAAGGCAACGCGTGGCAAAGTTTTGTTTTTTTGTTTTATGTCAGCACTGTCTTGTAGGTTGCTTATTGGCCCAGCTTTTACTGTTTCTTCTTAAGACAGAGTCCCCAAACTCAGAAAAAGGCAGGCCCAAGAAGGAATGGTAGTACACTGTCAGATCATGTGTGCATTTGGGAGCTGAAAGCCAAGCTTCTTGAAATTGTATTGGATCTTCAGAATATTGATGTCCAGAACGAAGCACGTGGATATTTATTTATTCTGATGTTCTCTTACGGTGTGTCCACAACATCCATTGTTCTTATTTTATTAGACTGTACCCTGCAGAGCTCTGCTCTAAGTCCTAGAAACCCTCAGGAGTTGGTGGTGGAACTGTGTACCGTTCTATAAAAGAAGTTTCTCATCTCTCCAGTAAACTACTTTTCTCTTTACTTATGCTTTTTCAATTTCCTTTTCTTTTATCAGAAAAAAATAACATCGCACAATTGTTTAAGGTGGGAGTGTTGATAGAAGTTGCTGTCACTTTCACTCTTCCCACTACCTACCTTGATTCTAAGGAAGCAGGCGGCTGCCCCTGTGTCAGGCATCTTGCCTTGAGTACTGCACCCGATCTTTACTGATTGTGGCGTGGACTTCAGGTTCAGTGTTTATAGTTACAGTCACTACACTTGCATCACTTACCCTGCTATGTGCTTCAGATATTCTGTTACACTGGAGTTTCTCAACTTTGACACTGTTGGCATTTTGGACTGGATAATCCTGTATTGGAAATGGGTGGGGCTGTCCTGTGCATTATGGGATGTTTAGCAGATGCTACACAGTAGGTTCCAGTAACACCCTCTCCCCACACACAGTCACGACAATAAACATTGTCCAGATATTGCCAGATGTTCCTGCAGTGAGAGTGGTGGTGGTGGGGGTGGGGGGGTCATCCCAGACTGAGAAACACTGAGTTGTACTGAAATATCTAGAGTTTCTCCCACCCTGTCTCTTGTCTTTATTTCTAAGATAAGGTGTGAGAATGAAACAGTCTGGTAAAAGGACTCTGTTGCAGGTAACACCCTTCACCTTCTGAAACCTACCGTAAGACCTGCTTCTCTAATGCACCATTTTGGAAACTGTCAAATTTGACAGTTACATACACATTATAAATAAATACTCTATCATAAGAATGGTAGCTTTAGTATAAATAAATCAGCTGTTAGTCTTTACTGGTATTTGCTATATAGAATTTTCACTTGTAATGAATTCATTAATAAATTCACATCAGCATAGGTTTGTTAATAGAACTGTGGTTGGAACTTGACAATAGCTTATATTTCAAATAACCGCAAACACGATTTTATTTCTTTTGGAATGAGTTGGTAGAACTCAACTCTTCAGCATTATAGTCAGCATGGCCTGGGAACCTGACAAACTGTCTTGAGTTAAAACTCCTGCTCTGTGACCTTGGGCAGGTCACTAAACTCTTGAGCCTCAGTTCCCTAGTCTTTAAAGAGGCGCGATGCTTCTGTAACTCTCTGAGGTAGTAGGCTCTTGATTCAGGCTGTGACTGAGAAGAGGTGCCAACAAAGTACAATATTAGTAAAACGCTGGATAATACGTTTTTAAATTTTTCTCTCTTTTTAAAATAAGCCATTCTGTATTTAATAGGCTTATGTGAGCTTGTATTTCTTTGGAGAATTTTCTGCTACACTTTTAAAAAATATGTATAATAATTTTTTTCTGTTGGAAGTTTAAATTTTTCATATTAATTTGCTTTGTCATAGCACAGTACTGAAAAATACAACATGCATTTTGCGGCAGTTTGGCTGGCTATTTAAGGATAAGGGTGAAAACAATGTATATTATAATTTTACACACAGTAGGCTTAATATATTTTTATCTAAAAAGCAGTCTCGTCTCAGCTGCAGACATAATTGTTGAGATTCTCTTTCCTAAGAACCCAACAGACCCACTGCCACATGGGAGAGCAGCAGCTCTTTAAGCGCCTTTTATGCCGAAGGCACTTTGCTAAGTGTTAGAGACACAGCAGAGAGCGAGACACAGTCTCTTTTTTTGAAGCGCGTCAGTTATATTTAGGTTGTTCATGTTGAAATTCTTGAATCACGTTGTGTCAGATTTCTGGGTTTGTTAATGACTGAAGCATCTCAGAATTGGCAGAGAAGCTGGGTGGAGTGAGTTCTGTTTTATAGGATCGCTCATGTACTTTTTCTACACTACACTGTTGGCTCGTTAATGCATTCTGTTGAGAAGCAGCACTTGTGGGATATAATTATGAAGCAGCTTTATTTTTTTGTCACTCACTGTCCCTTTCAATTTACTCTGTGAGATTGGTTTGTCCCCTTCCCGTGGATCAACCTGACTTTCTGGTTGCTTTTAGATAATGCAACTTGTCCTTTGGTAGGTAAGTTGCAAAGGTCTCAGCTTGATTATTAAGATGTCTAACACCAAGGAATAAACACTGCACAGTAGACTGAGTTGAGGATGAAGCTTCTCCCCTGCCCACTCCCTAACTCTGCCAGTTGCAAGAGGGAAGCCAGAAATCTGGGAAGGGGGCATCAGTGACTTTTTTCTTCTGACTGGGCATTTCTGCTCTTCCTCTGTCTTGCCATCCTGGGTTCTGACCCCTCCCAAGGTGGGCAGGGAAGAAGGGAAGAGAAGAAAAAGGAGCAGCAGATGTGGTTTCTCTAGTTCCCACCTCAGTTGCTCAAGATTCCTCCCCTCAACTTGCTTGGAAGTGAGAATGTCTCTAAATTCTGTCTGGTTGCTTACTCCTTCCTCAGCCTCTTGGATCTGGCAGGACCTTCACGTTACTTTGCTGAGGTCCGTTCAAGCTCCAGGTAACCTTCTGGATGGACTCAGGTGACCCCACTCCAGCCTGCTCTGTATCTTTTCCATAGGGCCATGTTGCTCCATACGTAGCACTCCTTTGCCCAGGCAAACTCTGGAAGTGGTCCCCGCTCAGCCATCTCTCATTTGCCCTCACTTACCTCTTCATCCAGCTCCTCATCTTTAGATTTCCCAGGGATGAATCAGGTCCCTGTTTAGTTTATGTCCCTCATCGTGTGTGAGACACAAATCAGGCTCTTCAAGTGGTTCCATCAAAGCCTCTCCCCCTAGGCTGTAGGTGAAGGACACGCACCCACCTCCACTCACCCCCTTGAAGGCAATACTTATTCCCAAAGCACTCCCCAAGGAACCCTTCTCCAGGACCCCCTCTGTGATCCTGACGCTTCCCACTGGTGTTGGGAGTAGAGGGTAACACACCTAAACACTCCTGTCTTTAGACTGCCTTTGGAAAGTTTGAGAGTGTTCTGGCACCTGCTTTGGAACATCAGTTGTCTTTGGTTCTCAATAGAAACTTCCTTTTTAATATCCTGTTGTGTTCTCTGCTGACCCGGTGCCTCTTTACTTGACTGCACTTTCAATGTAGTTCAGCCTGTTTATCCCTTTCAGGCATAATTAGTATGAGGAGAGTACTGTAAGGTTCCGAACAGCAGCAAGGAGCTGCTTCGTGTTCCCTAAGCTTAGCGTTAGGTCTTCCTCCTCTTTTACTGCCCAGCTTGCATTCCTCCTCCTGAAACTGCCCTGACCAATTAGGCCTTGTAAAGCTTG